TCCACTGGGTCTCTTGTAATTTTTCTTTTCTTTTTTTTTGTTTTACTTTAATTTATGGGGTACATGTGCAGATCTTGCAGGATTGCTATATAGGTATACATTTGCTGTGGCAGTTTGCTGCCTTCATCCCCCTGTCTCCTACATTTGGTATTTCTCCCAATGTTATCTCTCCCCAGTCTGCCACCCTACCCCCCACTATGCCTCCCCTAGCTTCCCACCCCCCAACAGACTCCATTGTGTAATGTTCCCCTCCCTGTGTCCGTGTTCTCATTGTTCAACACCCACCTATGAGTTAGAACATGCGGTGTTTGGTTTTCTGTTCTTCCATCAGTTTGCTGAAAATGATTGTTTCCAGATACATTCATGTCCCTGCAAAGGACATGGCCTCATCATTTTTTATGGCTGCATAGTATTCCATGGTGTGTATGTGTCACATTTTCTTTGTCCAGTCTATCATTGATGGACATTTGGGTTGGTTCCAGGTCTTTTCTATTGTAAACAGTGGAGCAATGAACATACATGTGCATGTATCTTTATAATAGAACAATTTATAATCCTTTCCGTATATATTCAGTAATGAGATTGCTGGATCAAATGGAATTTCTATTTCTAGGTCCTTGAGGGATTGCCACACTGTCTTCCACAATGGTTGAACTAATTTACACTCCCACCAACAGTGTAAAAGCATTCCTATTTCTCCACATCCTCTCCAGCATCTGTTGTCCAGATTTTTTAATGATTGCCATTCTAAGTGGTGTGAGATGGTATCCCAGTGTGGTTTTGATTTTCATTTCTCTAATGACCAGTGATGATGAGCTTTTTTTTCATGTGTTTGTTGGCCTCATATATGTCATCTGCAAATACAGACAATTTTACTTCCTCTTTTCCTAATTGAATACCCTTTATTCCTTTTTCTTGCCTGATTGCAGGTCTCTTGCAATTTTTCTATGTGTTTTATCACACTCACAAGATGCTGCAGTGATTTAAGGCAGAGATACTATCTTATAAATCTTTGTATACTCCACACTACCTTGTTTATAATCTTTTAAGATGAGAATTTAAAAATAATAAATACAGACTAACATAGACTAGCATATGCACTTTTATTGATAGAGCTAAGAGTCAAATAAGTTAAATGATTTTTCTTAAGATCCTGGGAAAGAAAACATATACCACTTCTCTTATTCCAAAACAAAAACCAAGAAACTTCTATTTTTCTGGATGTACTTATACCATTCACAAGTCTTTGAACTCTAGCGTTTGAAGGATGGCATGAACTCTGGCTTCGTCTGGACTGGTGTGGTTCTCTAAGTGGTAGATGTCTAGAGGTAGAGAGATTGAGGAAAACAACAAGAGTTTCCAGGATGGGGGTGATGCCCAGACTCCTTTGGATGACAATTTTGTTATAGGCAAGTCTTTCCGTTTTGGCCACAGTGCCCGTAATAAGATAGGAAGGATTCAGGAAGAACTAGACAGGGTACTGGGGTCCCAGCCAAGCAGCTGAGCTTTAAGGCAAACTCCTAACAATATGTCAGGCTCTTTTCTTTCATGGGCCTTGTACTCACTTCATTTTTCTTAAGCCTCTTCATCTTTCCCCCAATGCACACCTACCCTCTAACCCCAAAAGCAGATCCTTGGAGGTTTGCCCCTTTTTCTCAGGACTCAGTTTTGAATTCTGCATAGAAACCTACATAATGACCTATGACATGTTCTTAGCACTCAACTTTCCCTGAAAACAAAAATTATTTAATTGTTTGCATAATTATGAACACTGTTTCCCAAATGGACTATAACCTTGTCAAGGGCCAGGATTTTGTCCTGAACACTCCTATATACCCAAGAGCCTAACAAACCATCGGACTATAGGAAATATTTAATAAATCTTTGTTAGCTGCCTTGAAAGGAAGACATAAAATATGAAAAGCATCAACTGATTCATAAAACATGAGGGCGAGCTTTATCCTGCTGGGCAACTGTTACTCAAAGATGGTGTTCCAGTTTACTATCATATTATTTAGGGTTATGGTAGGAAAATAAAATGAACACCCATGTCTGGGTTTGCTGTGGTTATATTTCCTCTTATATGATTAGGTTTAAGTTAAACAGCCTGAGAGTGGAGGAGGCTTCAGCTGCAGGTTGGCAATGCTGAGTGTTACTATGTTGATGCTACTAATACTTACAAATCAAGTAGGTTAGCAGGTTTTGCCTTGAACACAGAGAAAGCTGTCAGTTTTTGTCAGAGGGGCAAAATATGGAACCAGATTTGCCTGCTGTAGGAAGGTGAGACCTCACTTGGCCATCCCAGCCCAAAGAGAAGTCTTCTTTCTCTGAAATGGAGGAGATCTGATTGCTTGCAGCAGCACTGATGCAGTTAAGGATATTTCCACATAAATATGTGTTACCCCTTTGTTGAAAATTCATATATACTTAGTGATTACTGATTGTACACTGGTTATCTTTTTGGCATGTCTAGAGAAATCCCTGGTTTCTGAACAGACCAGGGATTCCAAACAGGAATGGATGGAGAAAGGCATTTGAAAGGAAATTCAAGAGAGAGCTTCTTAAAAGCAAAGACCGGTTGTCACTGTTCATCCCTAAGCCTTATCTGAATGTGTGCAGCAAAGAAAATGTTTGTTGAATAAGCTGCCTTAATAGTCTCAAATTATAAAATTTAGGAGATACGCAATTTATGTAAAAATAATATTAAAATTTGATAAAATTAGAACATATTTGAAATACTGAAATTAATTTGTAGAGTTAGCTCATTGTGAAACAAAGACTCAGTAAGAAGGATAGCGTATAGTCGTTGACTAAAAATACCAGTGAAAGGACATCTTTAAAGCAAACTATTTGAAATCCAGAACCAGAATAGTATGTATTACATGAGCACATTGACTGTGGTTTTTAAAATGTTCCCAAAAAAGTGTAATAAATCCCTTATCCTCAGAATATGGAATAGATTACTCCCATTTTAACAACTAGAATACTGAATGTATTGATGCAATATTACTTTGAAGGGCTATTTTAGTTCTTAAAGATTACTTACTTCTTTTATTTCTGACCTTATCTCTCTTGTCCCTATACTTAGTGATTAGTGATTGTAAATTGCTTTGTCTTTTGAGCATGTCTGCTGAAAGTGGTTGTGAACTTACCAGGGATTCCTATCTAAAGAAACAAAGAAAAATTGTTTTATTAATTGGGAGGGCTTCTATTAATGCAATAAAAATTTTACATTTATTTATAAACAATAATTACTATTTGCTAAATATAAATGCCACAATATAGACCCAGATTTTTGGAAGATTAAAAACGTCTATAAATCTAAAACTGGGTATATATATGGCCAAAAATTGTATTCTAATTACCCCATCAAGCATTAGGGCTTTTTATAGATTTTTAGATCAGATGGCATCATGCAGACGTGTCAGTTCTTTGCATAAAATTGATTCCGAAATAGAAGGGAATTCTGAAGCTGCTTCCGAATCTGTGGGGTTAATATATGTAAATACTCACATATCATATTTTGGGCATAAGAATATGGATTTAAGGCAGAAGGAATACATAGAAAATGTGGTATAGATCGGAAGATGTCAACCCTTAGTATTAAGTGTGCTAGTTTATGTGAATCCAACTTGCTCTGGAGACTCCAAAGCCTTTCTGCCAGGCCGCTTTGCATCCCATATTATTTCAGAGGTTGGGATGGATTGTGAGTTGTGAAGTGCTTTCAAATCAAAAACAACCAATTTACTGATTTATTTCTGATCTATGTTATTGACTTCTGACTTTTTTTCTGAAGCATCTGAGAGCTATAATATAGGGAACTCAGATTGTTTGAAAAGATTTAACAGAAGACCATTACCGTAGTCCCATTTTCTACTCAGCATTGCAATGACTGTGTAAACCCTGAGGTAAAAGTACTTTTTTCTGTTTCTTCTCTAGCAGATTCGTCAAAAAGAAACAAAGTACAACAGAGATATCAAGGAATATGACAAAAATTCTAAACACCAATGACTAGGTAGATTACTGACAAAGATTTTTTTTTTGTTATTATTTACAAGTATCTTTTGCACGTTTTTTCTCATTTACTTCTCATGAAAGGCATGAGTGATGGCTGTTTAACCCTATTTTCAATTGAAGAGACTGGGGCTTATGGCTCCTAAGCATTTTGAATTTTTGTCCAGGCATTTTGTATTATGTCACAGCTATAACTGAGTGTCTGAGGCACTATGCCAGCGGTATCCAAATAATCTTCTCTAGACCAAGCAGGTATCTGAAGAAGGTTCATGGATGTGCAAGGATATGAGAAAAATGAGTACATTTGTGAGTTTCACATAATACCCTGTTTGTAAGAATTATTAACTTTATTCTGAAATTGTTCTTCCTATCTTTTGTGTTAAAATATCCTCTTTTTAAAAACTCATATGAAAGGAATTTATATCAGTTTTTACTTGGATGCTCTCATGAATATAAAGACTTCTTAGCAGTTGCTATTTATTTTTAAATGACTTGTTACAGGAATATAAAATACAAGATCTTCTGTACCAAAATTATGTTTCCATAGATAATAAAAATTGGCACCCTGCACTTCCCAAACTTCTTCTGAACTGATCAGTGTTGGGCAATGATCCAAAATCAAGAAAGTAGAGGTCAAGGTGCTATGTGATATGGAACAACCACAGAGCTATTACATGAAAATTAGCAAAACACATTCATAGCTGTACAATAAAACAGAAGAGTATGTTCACAGATACACTAGAATGTACAGAGAATACATCTGAAAGGACACAGGCTGCTTCTAGGGATGTCTCATTGGGGATCAGACTGGGAGGGAGATATGCTCTTTGCCTTTATAGATACTTGGAATTTTGTACCATGAGCTTCATATAAAATGCTAAAAAAAATACATATATAATTTTTATAAAGACCCCATAGGAGAGAGAAGGCAGGAATGAGAGTCACGTTACTGGCTTGAAACAAGAAACAAGAAAACGAAGTTCCTACTGGAAAGGAGTAAATATCAAAGGAAGAATCACAGGGAGAAATTGTGTTTTCTCTTTTTTTTTAATGAAACTATGACTAAGCATCTGCAACACGATACAGACTCTATTTAGGCAAAGTAGGTATGGAAAATAAAACATAGCCTAGATTACACAGCAAGGGGCCTACATGTCAGGAGGTAGCACAGGAATGCATCCTCCCCACACTGGGGACTGATGCAGACCCGGCCCTTGCCATTCTTGCCAACTGAGAAGAGACGCCTCTATGTAATTCTCTTCTCTTCCCAATCTGCAATCGCAAATAACATAAGATGAGCCAAGACATCCAGTGGCTAAAATGGAATAGTGTTAGTGTTTTCCAGTGCCTGGGGCTGTAGAAAAGGGAGAGTTGAGGGAGGGAGAGGATAAAATTATAAATAGAAAGCATTCAAGTTCAGTATTTTCTTCTATAAATTTCACTTCCATTTTTTAGGGCATGATACAATTTGTCTGCATTTATGTGTGCTAGCAGCCACCAACAATGTGCAAGAAAAATAATTCATAAGATAGTATCAGCAATAAAATATGATTCCTAATTCCTCAGTTTCTTTAGACGTGGGTGGGGGACTGAGATCACATGTGATATTATTTACATATAATCTGCTTGCCTTGCATAAAATTGTTCTCCTGTGTATGAATGCAAGGTGTCCTATAAAGTACATGGCATCTGCAGATTAGTGTAGAATATTGTACTTCACAGGCATTCTGCAAAGTAGCTCACGGGGCTGGGATAAATGTCTTATTATGATATATTTATCTCATCATGTGAGTGATATGAGCTCAGGTCTCCTGACGCCTGTATTAAAAAATGAATCCCCCATATTGTTCAACTAGAATAGCATTTCTGGTTAGACTTCAGAAAAAATTTGTAAAGGTTATATGTAGTTCTTTAATAACTGATTTTTTGTATGCATATCTTTTCTGAAAAGGGTATTTTGTGAAATCTTTGCTTCCTTTCAATTTAAGTGGTTTCTTAGAATGTTTTGCTAGGTGTGATGATATCAGACTGAACAGTGTATTCTAATATATGTCATTGTTATTCAAACAAGTAAGTTACTTTGCTTCAAAGTGTATACCAGCAAATGAATATAATATTTTGCCTCTATGTTACAATCAATTTATGTTCCTGATCATCAAGAAGCCATTATACAATGGTTAAGTATGAACAGAATATTTTCTTTTTTCATAGTTTTAACTACAGATATATCTGTAATTGTTTCACTTGATTTTTTATTAATACTTGAGTCTGTTTCCAAGACACATCCCAGACTCTGAGGCGAATGCCTCCAACTCCCATTTTTTTTTCTGGTTATAACCTTTAGACAATGTAGAAATTCTGATTATGTCCATTAAAAATATGACTTGACATAGCTAGAGACTTTAATGTGTTTTCTAAGAAAATGAACTATTCAGACATTAAGAACTAAAGTAAGAATTTGCTAATGTTTCCATACCTATTCTCTCCATCTGAATACTTTTAATTGTTGAAATTGTCAATCTATGTAAATTTTAATTGGCACACTTTCTCATTAATGATCTATAGTGTATTTATATGTGTAAATCAAAGTGTGGACTGGTTGAATTGAACAGCACATAAACTATGATTGTGGCGAATTATAAGTAGATGGGTGAGTAGATTAGCATACATGTGTGGCAGTGTTTTCCTTAACATCACTCCAGTATATCTGTCTGAGTGAATCTGACAAAAAGCTTGTTGTAGTTGCGAAGGAAATAATTTACATTTTTCTTCTTTACCAGCTATGTAATATAACAACTGCATGTACATACTGGCATAATAACTGAATATAGATATTGAGAATAAAAGCTTGGACTTGATGAATATTTTCATTTAATAACCAGACAGCATTTGAGTAGGAATATTAATCGCTGAAATCTGAGAAATTAATACTAATACTGAGCAGTTATAACAATGTGGAGCTTAGATGTTTAAGGCAGTAAAAAGCTTTGCCTTCTTAAAAATGCTCTTTCATAGCTATACAAAATTCATGTAATTAAATCTAAACACTGTCCTTTATTCATGTATGTTTAGAGAAAATTTTCCTGTGTGTTTGTGTGTGTGTGTAAAAGTACTTTTCTCGTAGTATTAATTTTGCGTTGCCCAAAGGCTTCCTTAGCATGACATTCTTGGAACTCAGATTTGGAAGTGCACAAAAGAGCTGTATTTGTTGCCAATTCAAGAAATGTGTTTTCAAAACAAGGATAACATTTTATTTTTCTTCCTCCCTGGTTCTGCAGTAGTGTAAGTGTTAAAGCCTGAGAGGTTTAGAAAGCTGCAGTGAATGTGTTAAGACTGTTAATGAAGCTTCTGAATCTAAGGACAAAATTAGCTCTCACACCCACACTGCGCAAAGTACAGCAACTGTCTGATAGAATTGCATCATGACTTTTACCTGGGGACACGGGTATTATATTCAGCTGAATTGATGAAATTGGGAAGACAGATGTGCCCAAAGGACATTTTAAGAAGCTTGTACCTACATAAATTGCTTGTGAAAAATCTCTAAAATTTGAATAAGAAACCAATGTAAAATGCTTTCTGCCTGTAAACTTCAGGTCATATGATACATATTATCTTGCATATTCTTTAAGGAAAAGAACATTTGACTTTCTGTTGATATCAAATAGTCTATACAATGTCAAGCCCAATGAATGCCTGTTTTCCCTTTTTTAAGATAAGTACTTGGGACTAGAGAGTTTAATGAAGGTTCCTAATTATTGTATGTCATTTGCTTAAAAACACTAAATTCAGACTTTCATTCCAATGTGAATGGCATATAAAGTGATTCACAGCGTTAAGAATTGAATAATATAACCATGTAGCAATTAAAATCACAAAAAAAAGCAACAATGTCAACAAGCACCTCCAAGCAGATTACCAAAATCTATAGGTCTTTGGACGTTGAGACAGGAGGATTCAATCCTACCACCCTCCACATGCAAAACTCTTCGAGATACTGACTTTTAAAAATGGGTTATTGTATTTCACTTTTAAAGACACAAATATTAAGAAACAGTTTTACTTGTATCTCCACATTGTAAACTCTTGATTATTTTTGGTGGCATGTATGTGGATTTGATTTAGGTTTGCTGTTCTAAGAAACATGGAAAATAGATACCTGAAGTCCAGAGGTTTGTGATTGTCGGTAGTAAAATGAGCATACTAAAGGAGTAGCTGTATTATTCTTACCTTAGAGCTTCATGTAATCAACGAATACTAGATTCTTATGATTGTTCTTAGAAGTTTCAAACAGCGTATCATAACCACACAGAAAATCATTTTAGTCTCTTAGAAAATTCTAGAAACCAGGATTAGGCCTATGTAACTAAATGAAACAGTAAGTCATTTAAAGGTGTTAATTAAATGACCTTTAAAACACTAAAAATCATCTGGAACCGACAGTGCCAACTCCACTTCTAACATGTGGTTATTGACATCAAAAAAAGATGGGATAACCTTTGAAATTTATAAAACTATTAGTCCTGTCCACCAGAGGGCATGGATTTTCCATAGGAAAAGGACAGAATGTAAAGGTGGAAAAATGGATGGTTGTAATAGCTGACCTTTCTTTTGACTGGACACATTTTGTTTTTTAAGACACAATAATTTATAATTGATTTGCATAGGGAAACCAATGCTTAATTTTATTGTGACCCCCAACTCTGATTTCCTGCAGAATTTATTGCCTCTTTCACATCTTGGCAGTTCATGTATATTACTCTTTATTATCATGCACCTTCTTTTTATATGATCTTTCTTCCTAATTATACTGTCCTTCAAAGACATAGTCTTTTACTTAAGACTCTCATTTCCATAGTAAAACACAACACCTTGTCCAGGGTAGGTGATAAATCATTATTTGTCAATGAAGATATTAATAGTTTTGAAATAATACAAATTATATCTACTGAAAAGTAAAATTACCATAGCAACCGACAATTTACAGAACATTTTTACATCCATTATTTACTTTATCCCCAAACACCCCATTCTCTACTTACATTTGTTTTATATTGTTTTCCAGGTTTGTGGTAGTAAATAAATTACTCATGCAAAATTAATTTTAAAAAATGGCTTTTCTAATAGAAAACACCTTTTTAGTCCTGAAAGCAAGACATTTAATAAAATTTTCTTTTAAATAAGCCATCATGAAAGTATTTAGTTTCCATCTTACTGCAGTAGCTTAGCTATCTTTGGAATTCAAAATTTAAAATTATTTCTAACTGGAAGGGAAAAAATCCGCATTACTCTTCTCTTTCTGTTTATACAAAAAAAAAAAAATTTAACCTTGATATGTGTGAATTACCTAACTGAAGATCCTGTAATACATTTTCATATGTGCAGGCAGTCATTAGTAGAAAATTAATAGAAGCAATTTCTTGCCAAATTTCAGAGTTAGTAAATAGAGCTTGCGAAAATAAGTAATCCTGAGTGATTCTACAACTAAATCATAATGGAAATAGTAAATTGGTAGTCAATTCAATGATTAAAATTGCAAGCTACCAACAATAATGTTTATTAAATTTATATTGCAAATGGGTTGACATGAAAAATACAAACCTTTCCAAAATCAGAATATTGACAATGTAATACAGCAATTTCACCACCATCATGCAAAATAATGATTGTAATTTCTAATTATTTTTAATCTTCTCTGCCATTTTTAGAGAATTCACTCTGAAGTTTTCACTCACTAAAATTAAAACAATTTAAATACTTAAATTCAGCACTTAGAACACATTTAAAATTAACAAATCTAAAACACTTAAATATATACATAGCTTGTCTCTCTGTTTTTTTGAAATGAAGCTACTACACTTAGAAAATAAACTTGTCTAACAGGATCCATCAGTAAATATCACTCAGCATCACAGAAGCTATTGCCAATCGTGACCAACACATGATGCAGCGCCTTATACCCCTGTTCTCCAAAACATATGATAAAATATATTCACATTTGTTCCATTGCATTAGAATTTAATTTGATTAGTTAAGGGCTTTAAAATGCCTTTATTCAAATAAGTACACATTTTTCCAAAACTGCACCCCTGGACAAATAAGCATAAAAGCCCTGTAATTGCAAAAAAAAAAGTTTAAATTTTGGATTTCACTCAACTTTAGCCTATACAAATGTACAACATTTTAAAATCTCTTACTATCATTATTTCATAAAGATATCAGACACTATTCAGCCAGGTTTCAGTTAACTGCATTTGTTTTGGTGTCTGTTAATTGCTTTAAAATTACAGAAACATTTGAGGAAAGGTCTCTTTGCCAGACAATTTGCATTATATTGCCCGTTTCATTCTGTTGAATAGAGAGTGGGCTTTGGAACAATCCCACCATAATTTTCCAAGAATATTTTGAAAGATTCAAGCTTTTTTCATTTATTTAAATATATATATTTGTTACCAGCCTACAAGTCTACATATTACAAGCTTAAAAATTATATTTTTAACCCTTCGGTACTCTGATATTCTCTTCAGCTCTGTTAAGTACTGAGCAATAGGAATTTACTTAAAATTTTGAAGAGCCTCAGGGAGGGTTAAGGCACAACTATCCTGCTATTGAGCTTGGCCTCTCAATGAAAAAACTAGTTTTCTATGAATCTATTGATTACTTGTTAAATTCTACAGAGCCATTAACTCAATATAGATATGAGCATTTAATTATTTTTCCGAGCCCTTAAAATCCTGCCTATGGAAATAGTATGGGTAGAAAAGAGCTTTGCAGTGTATAAAGCAGAGCCAGGTTCTAATCCGTCTCCCCTTCATGCACACCGCTTAATATGTAATTCCTCAGTAATTTGATTCAACCTTTAGATCATTCGCACACGTATTGATTTACCCTACCAAGTAATATAGCAACTACTTCTCCAAGTCTTGCTTTCTTACTACAATAGTAGAAGGCTATTCTCAGCAGGCAGAATAAGGTAGGAAAAAATTACTTTTGTAGTCAATTAAATCATTTATCAACAACCGACAACAGATACTGATGAAATCCCTGTGCTCAAAGACTTCACTTCAGTTCTCAGAATAAACAGTTCCCAAGAGTCAAAATTAGGCTCTTTTACAGTACACAGAGATGGCTATAACACTTCCCTTTTAAATATATTTGTGCCCCAGTTATATCTGCCATAATTTATAGTAAATGGCTCTAAGGGTTCATTGTTTGTTAAATTAGGGATAGATCCAAGCTAAGTCTTGAAAATTGTGGCTGTCTAAATATGGTTCTTCTGAAGCTTACTTCTGTGAAGACCAGAAATGAATCTTCTGGTGAACAAGAATACAAGCTAATTTTATATGGTAACAAAGAGAAAACTTTTCCTTTTCCAATTTATTGTAAGCTAGGGTAAAGTAGTGCCACTGGGATCTGGAGTCAGGTTGCTTGAATTCAAATTTCAACGTTATGCTTTCTAACTGTGTGAGCCCATGCAATTTGCCTAGCCTCTGTAAGCTTCAATTTTTTTCTTTTTGAAAATGGACATGATACGAAAAGGACCTACTTCATGAGATTGCTGGAACCTTCGATGCGTTATATAAGTTAATTAGCACAAGAACTAGAATATAGCAAGCTCTCACTAAATATTAGCTATTATTTTTTAATTGCCAATTTTGCCTTTATTTATAAGGATTTCTAACAATGTACAACACACAACAAACATTTTAATGCCCACTAGAAGTTTCCATTTTCAAGTGAATGATAACTGAGTCCATTGAAATTGCTGAGGAATCAGCAACCTCTGGACATGTTAACCATTCTTCATTGTAGATTCTTTAGGCTTTATCCCTGTATCAAGCCAGATCATCACAATGGTACATACAAGGACAATGTTACTTTGCCTGCTTCATAAATGCTTTCACAGAACTATGATCTGGCATCATGCCCTTGGCTTCTTATCAAAGGTCAGTGTAAGAACTGACCATATAAAGAATGTTTCTGCTCTTTTTGTGAAACTGCTATTGAAGATACTGTCCATTTTTGTGTTTAGTGTTCCTTTGACAAAGACTCTTGCTATAAATTCTTCTTAGAGCTAAATTTAATGATTTTGGTATATCACTTCTTTTGTTTTAAAGTGCTTTGTCATTTTGGGAAGTAGAAAAGGTTTTAATAATAAATCGAAGATGCCTTTCAACATGTGCCATCCTAGAAAATGTAGCCAGCTACTGCTTTGTCTCCATCATCAGAGAGGAACAAAACTAATACATTTATTCTCATTTTCCAGTTTCAAACTTAAAACATTATCCTAGTAGAGAATATTTGCATGTGAAAAGATAATCTTCAAGGCAGAGAAAAGGGTTGTGATATTCTCAGCAAACTGACACAGGAACAGAAAATCAAACACCGCATGTTCTCACTCATAGGCAGGTGTTGAACAATGAGAACACATGGACACAGGGAGGGGAGCATCACACACTGGGGTCTGTGCAGGGGAACTAGGGTAGGGACAGTGGGGGGTGGGGAGTTCGGGAGGGACAACATGGGGAGAAATGCCAGATACAGGTGATGGAGAGGAAGGCAGCAAACCACGTTGCCATGCATGTACCTATGCAACAATCTTGCATGTTCTTCACATGTACACCAAAATCTAAAAATGCAATATGTGTGTGTGTGTGTGTGTGTGTGTGTGTATATATATATATATATATATATATATATATATATATATATATATATAAAGTTGTGATACTGATGATAAAATTCCAGGACACAGACTCTTTGGAGGGAACAGTATTTCACAGTTTCTATTAATTCACATCATATAAATCAGGGGTTGTAAAATGAAAGATCTTTGACTTGTGTTTGGTTTGCACAGTATTTTATAAGATGTTATGCGGGCAGATATTAGACTTAACCACAATACAAGCATTTGTGCACTTATTGTCATACTCTTATCCCTGCTAAATTCATCTATGCAGTCAAGATCCTGTTCAAAAGTGGTAGAATGTGACATTAAGAGTCTCTGTCTCATTACTTTAGGCAGAAGAATCCCTTGGAAATTTACCTAAAAGTTTGCAAAACCTGGAGCATATATATTCTGGAAAGCCAAAGGGAGCATGGGAAAAAAGGTTTATGCTTCTTTCCTTCAGTCATTCTGCTCACCTTCTAAAATACAGTGGTTATTTCTGTTCCTTTTTGTGTTACCATGGGACCTGATGATCACCCTCTGAAAGTATAGAAGGATGAACAGAAATACAGATGTCACCAATTATTTCTCAGAGGCTGTTCTCTCCAACCTGGAACTGGGGAAGCAAATTTTTCTCTATTTGTTTATAAAATATACATACATACATGTATTATGCAGCTTGAAATATTGTTCTCATAATGAAGGGAGTATGGGGAGTCTATGGGAAAAGTTAGTGGTTCTAAACCACGCTAGAGGCCAATAACATGAGAAAATGATTATTCTGCCAGAGAGAAAACACTGCCAGACATCAGGCAGAACTGTCAGTAGACAGCAACATTTTAAAGAAAATAATTTTTTCAGTATCAATTGGCCATGCGTTTTCTTCCCCCTCAAATTTCTAATAAGTAGGCACATATGTGAATTATTTACCCCAAAAATCATGTTTATCAACAGATACCTAGGATAAAATACACTAATAGTAATACTCTCAGCCATCAGTAAACTTCAAAATCCAAAAGTTAGCTGGATTTTAGTTGAAAGCATACTTTTCTGGTTTTTAACAATATCCACTTAAAAACTGAAATAATCAACATGCATACTTTTATATGGACGCATTGGTTTTATCATCATTTTTATTTTAAAGTTAGAACTTATCATCATACTTGGCCTTTTACCTACCAAGACAAATACCGTATGCTGAGTTCTGGATCCTCACAAATTGTACAACAAAACAGGATGGCAGATGCATAATGGTCTATGGATTTGACTGAATTTCAGAGTCTAAATGGTTTTTACAGATCTGATATCCTAATAAACCCTCCGGCAGAAAACCGTTGTGGATGTAAAAATGAATAAAAGTTTCACAAATGTGCCCATCTCCTTGTGATAGATGTAGCATATTAGGCAAGAATCTACTCCATCAGTGTAGGTACTAAATATTTCTTTTTATTAGAGGGCACTAGGAAATTATGTGTTCTAGTGTGTGAATTCTTTTTCTAGGGGCTTCTTTCTAAACTTTATCCACTCATATATAATTTTACTCACCCAGAGTTCCATTAGAGAGAAGAGTCTGTCTGACCTTCAGCTTTGAAATTGGCAATCCTACCTAGAACATATCATCTCTTTATTGTTAAAATCCCAATAGTTTATTGAAGCACCTCATAAAAAAGATTATATCAAGGACATATGACTTAATTATAATAGTAATTTTAAAAGATTAATTAAGTAGTTTAAAATTAATGACAATATACTTTTTAATATTAAAATTTAAGCTAATAATTCTTTGTTGTGCTATGTGGTAGAGATAGGATGAAAATGTTGCATCAATACGTGGTCCTACCCACAAGAGAAGCATAAAATGGCCAGATATTGAACAAAACTAAATATTCTAATTCTAGATTTTCATTCTGTGTAATAGGTATATGTGAAAGTGATGAGGCATGATTTGATTTCATCATCTAATTTGTTATGAATTATTCATGAGGATACATTTCTGAGTGTATGATTCTCCACTTGGAATGTTTACATCACTTATTAGGTAAACATTAGTAGCAAAAGATACAATAATTTTTCCAAGTTTACTTTGTTAATACTCACTATAAAAATGTAACAGAAGGCTTGAATTAATGTAATTACCAAAAATTAAAATAAAAAGAGCTTGCTAACAGCAACTTCAAATATCAATGGGGAATAAATCCATCTATAGCAACTGCTATTTCAAAAGAGATAAAATGAATTAGGAGAGTGCATACTGGCTCTAAAGCCTCAGGACATTATTAATAAATATTGTCTCTATCCTAAGGTTTATAGAGCCATGAGGCTAGTACAAAATATTATGTATTAAGAATTAATTTAGTTTTCAACCTGGATTCTACAGGAGGAAGACTTATGAAATAGCTCCAACTGTGCATTTCCCCTGATGACATTTGATCCCAGAGGCACATTTTAACTAAATTTGACAGTGGGAAAGAAAGTCCAAAGCTAAACAGCACCACACAAGTTTTTGAAACAGGTAGACAGCTAATGACCCAAACGGTTCATGTTAATAGTCAAATGCTGGCTACCCTGTGGATTGCTACCAGGTGCTAATGAGGAAAGCCTTGCTTTCTCTCAGGCAAGCAGCTCTCAGTGAAGCTGCTACCACTTCCAAATACTGATGGATACACAGAGAGTGAATGCAAAGTTTACTATGTGCCATTAACTACGGATGCACATGTAAGTCATAGGAAACCTAACTGGTTGGACCAAGATTTGTTTATTTTATCCTTCTAAATCACTTTAGTAAGACTTGTTGCAGCAAAGTTAAAAGTAAAAAGTATTTAGTGTTGAAATGTTTCTCCTATTCACCACCAGTAGATATTTCCAGACTCATTGCTCTCCGCCCCCTGCTGCTCCAGGATTATTTTACTGTGGCTGTTTTCTCTTTCTAAAGGGGGAGAGCAAATCCTTCTGTTTGAATACCAAACCTTCGGTTTACTTCTTTTGGCCAAATGTGCCTTTTGATGAGAACATGCATTAGTCCCCTGCTACCTTGTGAATGCGAAATGGCATCTCTTGTCAAAGGAATACAGTGGCAGCAGCCACTAGCCAGGCTGATGAATTATTACACAACTGCAGTCTGTGATTCAATCAAAATCTACTTTTGTGTTTCCATGGCTGAACTCATGCATGAGCCCTTATGTTCTGTACAAACTTGAAAACTGATGTGGATTAATTCTTCATGAGTCATAGAGTGATATATTGCTTTGCTATTCTCTTTGATTATGTTACTGTCTTAAGATAATTCGTTATAAAATGGGAAATGCATAGGAAAGAAATTGGCTATAATTTGAATTTAGCTTGTACGTATCTTTCATTCAATAATTATTTACTGTGCTTTACACTTTCAAAAATATGCTCCCTGCTCAATGCAAGTTATCCTATATGTATTGTTGTTAATGCACATATATACCAATATTATATGCAAGTTTTTTCTTACATAAAAGCCATACCATTGCAATTTTCTATTTATTTTTAGCAATGAACAAAATAATTATTTTTTATATTAAAATCCAGTTCCTGAATATTAACAACTGATTCTTTCCAGGATAAACTGTGCTATTTACTAGTTATATTAAAATAAAACCCTTCATCATATTAACTGTAACCTAAGGAGAGTTATACCTAATCCACATAAATCTCTGGTTGCTATAAAAATCAAATGTAGAAATAAGTGTAATAATCTGATAAATGCTTATTCTTGGATGTAAGTTATAGCTATATTTTATTAATTCTGCTTCTTTAATGATATCTCTTAGTCAACAAATGAAACTTTTATTTTCTGTAAACTTTTGTTTTTATTGTTTCTTACTGGCAAACCCCATATGTCTCAAATAGAGAAGTATAAGTTTTAACTGAGGTGAAGCATATTGGAATTAAAGAAGGAGACCGTATAGGCAAATACTTGTGGATCCAATAAAAGCAAAGTAGATGAATAAATGGTTGTTGCATTCATTTTTCTAGTTATGATAAAACAGACATAAAAGAGAATTTCCACTTTCCTTGTAATATCACTGTTTTAGCTTCTGAGGGCTGCCCTAAGAAGTACCATAACCTAGGTAGCTTAAAACAATAGAAATTTATTCACACACAGTTCTGGAGGCTAGAAATCCAAAATCAAAGCAGTTGGCAGGGCCATGCTCAGTCCAAAAATTCTAGGAGAGGATCTTTATTTGCGTCTTCTAGCTTCTGGCAGTCCCAAGAATTCCTTGGCTTGCATATATGTCACTCCAATCTCTGTCTCCCCCAACACATGGCTGTGTGCTTCCAGGCTGAGGGCAGTGGCTATTCACAAGCACAATGACAGAAAACCATAGCCTTGAATTCTTGGTCTCAGGCGATCCTTCCCTCTCAGTCTCTTGAAAGTATTCTCCTCTCTAATAAGGACACAAGCCTAATGGAGTAAGTTCCATCACACCTTGGTATGACATCATCTTAACTAATATATGTTATAACTGATTCTAAATAAGACCACATTCTTAAGTATTAGGGTTAAAACGTTAGCATATTGTTTCAGGGGACATAATTTAACTTAGAACAACCATTATAATGAAACCAAAATTTGAGACTTTGAAAGACTTAAATAGCAAAGCATGTTCTTTAAGCATAACAAAAACAGGGAAGAGTTAGAGTGTAGCGATTTTTTTTAAGCTGCTACTCAAGTACAACTAATTTTTGCCATGGTGGAATAAAGATCCAATATTAAATATTTTAATTTCCAAATATCAGCATGTAGCTCAACTTTTTAAAAAATACCAAGTAAAGAAAAACTCAGTTCTTTCTAAAAACTTATCAAATACTATGTAATATTCAGTTTGTCTATGTAACATCAGATTTTCCTTCTTTGGGAAAGACAAAATTTTTTGAATTTTGAAAATACGTTAACAACTAATATATTTCTTCTTAAATTACTAAATTTTGACACACTCAGTAATTCATTATGTAATGAAAAGAATTTATATATATATATATATATATATATATATATGTATACACAAACATATATACACACATACATGCACACACGGTTATATGTCTTATTAAAAGCATGTCAAGAAAGAAGATATTTAAAAGAAGGAAGTACTCACATCTCACACATTGTCTTCTAACTGTATTCAGGAATAAATTGCATGACATTAAGAAAAGTGTGCCAACAATAATCCATATTCATTTTTATAAGACAAATTTTAAACTTTATTTCAAATAAAATAAGAGCAAAATAATATGAATATCTGTATCTCTCTGCTTTTATTAATATCTCTGGAAGTCAGTTTCCCCATCTGTAAATTTCCTTTAAATATTTCATATTTATGCTTTGAATGATATACAACCAAATTTTCTCCTTTGACCATCTAAGTATATTAATATTTAAAAATGTATGTTTACTTTACAGTAGTTTTCATTGTAATGTGTTATTCTTGGAATGTATATGTTGAATTTTGATTAAATTGTGAAGCATAATTACAGGTTAGCTGCAGAGGTATTCTAATCCTCTGCTTAGTATGCGGCTGAAATGAGAGATTGCCTGAGTGCTGTCTGTCAGTAACAAATATTTCATTGTTTTATTTTCACTGTGGCTTCCTCCAGCTTAAGTAAGACTTTGGAATCTACATTTTGGGTGCTTTTGTGAAACGTTTGTTAAATAGGTTTTGCCTTCTGTTGCCCAATAGATGAAAAAAGTATATTATGATGGTCTTTAAAACCTCTGGGCCTTTATTTTTAATAAAGTATATTTCCTTTTTATTTAATTAATTTAATCTTAAATGGATATGCCAAAAATTTTCTTTGAGATACGTGTATTTAAATATGGAAGTGAGAGATACTTCCATATTTAAATGTTAACATAGTGACACATACTAGCTTCCAATACATTTATATAGAAATATGACATAAAATATAGCAACTGTAACAAAGAGAGTTCATTCAGCTAATCTCAAAAGAAAGTAAGAGAAATGCCCAGCTGTCAAAACAGAGAAGAACTCAGAGCCAGGCTATGAAGGGCACAGTGGTTCCAGAGGTCTAGATGTGTATTCCACTAAAATATAATAGCTAAAAACCATGATCTGGGGTTTCAATGCCAGTACAGAAATAGGTGGTAGAGTCTGAGCCAGGGAAAAATGGGTAGATTAAACTGCGATTTCTGAGTCATCTTGGAAAACCACAACGATGTGATAAGAAATACACTGTGGTTATAATGAGGCTTGTCTACCTTCCTGGATTTCTCACTGGTGATTGTGTGTGTGTGTGTGTGTGTGTGTGTGTGTGTGTTGGGGGGGTGGGTTGAGGGTGACAAAAAATGGAATTCTCCTTGGTATGTAATCATCAAAACTACATGAAGCATGGAAGTTCTTTGACCTTTTATAGTGGACTAGGCACAAGAAGCACACACTAAATGACCAATGTAACATCTCATGGAGAACTGATGTACTCCCTAGGGACGTGACAGATATGTTTTGTAAAGAAATGCCATGATCCTAGTTGAGTGAAACTCCCATATGAGAAAAAATATCACACATGGACTTACAATAGCAATGGCTAGTCTATATTAAGGAAGTAGCCATTTCAGTCTGTTTCGTGCTGCTACAAAAAATACCTGACACTGGATAATTTATAAGGAACAAAAATTCATTTTCTTGCAGTTCTGGAGGCAGGAAAGTTCAAGATTAAGGCATCCACTTCCAAGTCTCTTTTTCCAAAGTAGTACCTTGAATGCATCATCTTTCAGGGAGAAGGAACACTACTTCTCACTTGGCAGAAGAAGAGAAGAAACCAATCCACTCCCTTAAACCTTCTTTATAGTGAGATTTATCCAATTATGAAACAGGACTTACGATCTAAACACTTCCAATTAGGCCCCATCTCACAACATTGTTGCATTGAGGATTAGATTTCCAACACAGGAATTCCGGGTTACATATTCATGCTATAGCAGAAGCCCAATAAAACATAACAAATAATATTTAGCATAGCATGAATATTTGATAACAGAACAATATGAAAATGACTATAGAATAAGTAAGTTTGACATTAAGCCAGATAAAAGAAAGGAAAACTCCCATATTGAAAGGAGATGTAGATATCCATGCTAAATTTTAAACTGTGGGTTAAGTGGTAGTTTACAGAACAAGTTCAAATGTATAAACTAAAGGATGGTCAGTCTGGCAAGTGCCTGTAGTCACAGCTAATTGAGAGGCTGAGGTGAAGGATCACTAAACTAGTCCAGAAGGCAGAGGTTGCAGTGAGCCATGATTCCACACATATATATGAATGAAGCAGTACAGTCTGGATCCAGCAGGAGATCTGGAAAAGGAGGAAAGAATATCAGAGAAAGGCAGTATTCAGGATAATGGCAGATGCACTTACAGAATTGGGCAAACAGAAAAAAAATATGAATCCTGAATTTTAACAGCCACACTTAGTCCTAAAAAGAATAAATAAAAACAAATCCTAAACCTAGAGCCATTTTAGTAAAATTGCTGAAAACCAAACATTGAAAAAAAGATAATACAGTACCTTCAGAATCTTTAAGGATTCACTTCACATACGAATATTTTTAAAAAGTTAAAATTGAAATAAATACCCTTATTTTATTATAATTTTAAAACTGTGACTTAGATCATTCAGAAAATGCTACTAATAATGAAACGATATTGAGTTGGATAGACCACTGTAGAATGATGCAGAGTGCTAATTTAGCAAGTAAGGGCATTGTCTGTAAGTTTCCATTAAAATATCAACATTACGTTCCTTTTCTAGTAATGTGACATAATTTAATGTCATATTTCATTCACCCAGATGAATAATAGAATTTACTTATTAATGTGACAACTTTAGGGCTCTTAAGATTACATGATTAAATTATGACTCCTTTCAAATAGCTTAGTTTATAAGACAGAGAACTATAAAGGAGCAACTTCATATGTTTTGTTTTGCTTTTTAGCTGCTTTAAAATTAAAGGCAAATCAAAAGTTAAAAAAGAAAAATTAGACTAAGAACATGATATCAGGTCAGATTTTGTATTAGAAGTCCTGACAGTAAATCAATGCTAACTGTCATTTATTTAGCACATAAAATTTTAAGCTCTTGATCATTTATTTTTATGCAAATAAAACCCACAATGAAATACCATCTCAACACCAGTCTGAGTGGCTATTACTAAAAAGACAAAAAGTAACAGATGCTGGCAAGATTGCCTAGAAAAGGAATGCTTATAGGCTGTTGGTAGGAGCATAAATTAGCTCATCCATTGTGGAAGGCAGTGTGGCAATTGTTCAAAGAGCTAAAAACAGAACTACTATTTGACTCAGCCATCCCATTATTTGATATATACCCAATGGAATGTAAATCATTCTACCATAAAGACACATGCACGTATATACTCATTACAGTGCTATTCACAATAGCAAATACTTTAGGAATCAACCTAAATACATCAATGGCATATTAGATAAAGAAAATGTGGTACATATAAACCATGGAATACTATGCAGACAAAAAAAATGAGATTATGTCATTTACAGGAACATGGATGGAGCTGGAGGCCATTATCCTTAGCAAACTAATGCAGAAACAGAAAACCAAATACCATATGTTCTCACAACAAGAACACGTGGACATAAAGAGGAGGCAACATATACTGGGGCTTCCTTGAGAGTGTAGAGTGGTAGGAGAAAGAGGATCAGAAAAAATACCTATTGAGTACTAGGCTGAGCATCTCCATCTGAAATAATCTGTACATCAAACCCTGTGATATGAGCTCATCTATATAGCAAACCTACATATGTACCCCTGAACCTAAATAAAAGTTGTTAAAAATCATTTATTCTTCTTTAGTCCCCTAAATTAGATATCATTAAAATCCCTCTTTTGAAGATAGGAGCCAGGGGTGAAAATTAATCAATATAGAATTCCCTCATGTTTCTATAACTAAAATGATTACTCTAGTACAGCAGTTCTCAATCAGAAGCAATTCGGCCCCCAGGGGTATGCCTGGCAATGTCTGGAGACAAGTTTTATTTTCATAATTGAGAACCAGGGTGCTACTGGCATTTAGTGGGTAGAGGTCACAAATGCTGCTAAACATTCCACAAAGGTTTCCCACAGCAAAACATCATCTATTCCCTGATGTCAACACTGCCTCAGTTGAGAAACTGCTCTAGAACATTTAAAGCAAATAATGGTCAAGTTTACTACTTATTTTTTTGTTTTGTTTTGTTTTCTGTGTTTAGTACATGCATAAACCTAAAATATGAACCTCTCTTTTCTATAGTATTCTCTGTGGTTTGACACTGATTGGCATCTCATAGATTCCAGGTAGTTTTCACATAACACAAGCTACGGTATGAAAGTTTTCTCTCTGCAGGCAACCTTCATAGTCTTATTTCTGTAGCTGCCGGCAGTTGTCCTCTGACATCAGTTTGGTTCAAGCAGACAATCTTGACAAGGTAGCAGATGCACAACAGGCCAACAGACTTTCACTTTGCTCTCTCCAGTTTCAGAATTCTATACGCATTTATATTGAGACAAAAATAATAAAATATATTGACACACTTCCCTTTAAGTATTAATGCCTTATCTTTTCCAGTGTCAGCAATCCCCTAGCAATCCCTTAGTAATGTAACTTGGTCTAGTGCTGATAAAGCATTTACTTAGCTTTCTGTAACTTCCTTTTGGGGTCTAGCTCATTTATTTTTAATTCATAGTACTTTCCAGGATTTTATCACATTGATTACTACATTTCAGATACCAGTTATTGTGGTTTATAACTCTGAAAGGAAGTACGCTGAAAATGAAAATGAAATTTCCTGTAGTGGTGATTTATTTTTGTTGGATTTTTTTTAATTCTACCAGCATCCACTATAATATTATTCTAATTTAGGAATTTCATACATAAGTTGTAAGATGATAAAACATGACTTTTACGTGAGAGAATATTAATTAGATCAAAAGAAACATATTGTTTTAAATCTATTCTTTTTTTTTTTTTTTTTCTGTAGAAAGAGGCAATCTTGCTCTGTTGCCCAGGCTGAAGTGCAGTGGTAGGATCTTGGCTCACTGCAACCTCTGCCTCCTGGGTTCAAGCATTTTTCCTGCTTCAGCCTTCTGAGTAGTCAGGACTACAGGCATGAGCCACTGTGTCTGATTATTATTATTATTATTTCAAATTTTCAGTAGATACTGGGTTTCCTCATGTTGGCCAGGCTTGTCTCAAACTTCTGGCCTGAAGTGATCTGCCCCCCTCATTCTTTCTCCCAAAACACTGAGATTACAGGCCTGAGCCACTGCGCAGGACCCCTTATTTTTAACTTGTATTATAGACAAGGTTTCTTGGGTTAAAATTCGATAATTTTCTAAAGAATTATATTAATTATTATGTTGTTCTCAATATCACTTTTCTTGTTTTGCCAAAAATATTGAAACAATACAATTTGATTTTATTAAATTTTCATAAATTTGGCTTATATACCTCAAGATCTGTTCTTCTAAACTGAGCTATACTACATATGAGTCTTTGATCAGTTAGTACATAGAGAATATTGTTTTCATAATTAAGAGGAAACGAAGCCTAAGAAGGTACATTTAAAATACTAGGCACTAAATGAAATATAAACATCTTTAATTTTTGACCTCATTGTATAAATAGTATGCAATTTTAGGCCAAATAATTTATATTTCTGTTATATTTTTATATTTATAGTATGAAGTAGTGTTCTATATAATACATATATCCTAAATAGAATTTATTAGTTGAAACACTAAAATCAGTAAGGTCATTTTTGCCCATGCATAATAATGTTGCTCACATAGTATGTCCAGGAAAGCAAAACACCAAAAATTTTGTAACAGATTATATCTAGGGTACCAAACAAAATATCAAATATTGATATGTGAAAGCACCTTATGTATCTAAGGGTCAAATCACATTTCAAATACCCAACACTCCCAATATAAAGTGTTCCTCTGAATTTCTATAACCTTAAAATAGTACGAGAATATATTCAGTTATATTAATAAATAACTCTCTAATATATCCAGCTTTGCTTACCTCTTGTTATCATTTAAGATAGCATGTCCTATTCTATTTTCCTCTAGATGTCATTTTAGTGTTGTCATCTTGTTATCATGTCTTTGTCTTCCCATGCAAAACCTAAGGCACGGGTTTCAAACTCTACACTTGAACACATGTCTCATGCAGAGGGATGCTATTTAATTCACAGGCTGTAATGCTCCTCACAAGAAGTCTACACCTTTGGTGAAAAGTGTTTCATTTTTACCTGTTGACAGCCTGATGACACAAAGTATTTGCTCATAATGCCATGACTTTGCCTGTGACTTGTCACCAGGCTCAAGAAATTATTAATAGAAATGTCCATTTTTAAAGTATAAATAAATAAGAATGCAAAACCCATGGGGAAAATAGTAAATTGGTTTCTGTGCTACATATGACATTTTCAGTTTTTTAAAAGTATTTTAAAAAATTCTTTTCCTTTAAAAAGTAATCTCTGCCTTCAAATAGAGCCTTTAAAAGGACTCTCTCCATGCTGAAACACTGAGATTCATTCTAATGAGGTGGATATCCAGTGGAGTCCAAATAAGGTCAAACATTCAGAGAACAGAAGCTCTTGGATGCAAAGGAAAATTCAAATGTGTTCAATAAGCACTAATCCTGAAGAAAAGAGATAAAACCACTAGCATACACAGATACTTTCAAAAACAAATAAAAGTCCATATTGGCTCCCAGGAGATCTGTTTTCATTATTCTTTTATTGTGATATGTTGCTTCTCTCAGAGTTTGTCCATGTCCATGGATAGGTCTTACTTATTTTAACATTTTGGAAAAATTGGACGAGGTTGTTTTTTTGTGTTGTTTTGTTTTGTTTTTATCAGTCTTTTTTCACTCTGCTAACATCTTAGAGCTCCCATCTTTGAAAATTATTTGTACTTGCTGTGTTCATTTCCTCACTTGTCACTCGGTTTAGAGCTGAATGAATTCCCTACCTGGAACTCGTTCCCTGAAAGTATCTCACCAAAATCATCAAACACTTACTCATTACTAAATTCAAAGGAAAACCCTAAGACTTCCCTTAAACTGGACCTATGTGGTAGCATTTAATTCTGCAACATATATGCATTTTTCTTGAAACCCACTGTTGCCTTAACATCTTTGTCCAGGTGTTTTCTTAGTAACCCTGCAACCTCTCTGAACGCTGTTTTTCAGTTTCATGTGTAAGTTCCACTTTCCTTTGCTTTGTTATTTTGGTGTTCCTCTATATTTTGTCATAGCTGTCACTTCCTATCACTCAACAGTTCAAATCACTTATGACCCATGCATCACACTGCCTACTTGACAATTCTACTTGCGCTTATCATGGAAGCCTTAAATACATATTCAAAACTAAATGGGACCCTTCCATATTCCTCCCGCATATCTGTGTTACATCGGCTTCTCTCTGGATCCCATAGTCACCAACAGAATGTCAAATTATAAAATCATATCAATTCTATTTCCAGTACATTTCTGGAATTATTTTCCCTAAGTATTTGCAGAAAACATCTCTCATCACGATGCTAAAACAGCATCATAACTTGCTTTCTTTGCTCCAATATCCTCCTCTATACTTTGGTAAAAGTGACAGTGGTCTTTCTGAAGTACACTTATGATTAAACCAGTTTTCTACTCTTCTTATTACAGCCTATAAGGCAATAGGAGGATAATGGTAGTTGCGAGAATAACGTTGTTGAGAGAATTTTATGAATTGATTAAGCAAAATTCCTAACATAGTGGCTATTGTGCAGAAGACAATATATAATGCTGGCTGTACTGCTGTTAATGGACAATGTATCTGTATTTATATATTTCATTTGCCTTCAGCACCAGAAAGACAGAGTCTGTTATATACGCTGCATTCATTATTGTGCCAACACAGAAATTAGCACTCAAGTGTTTGCTCAATCAATACATAACTAGAAAAAATATATTTGTATAAAACCTTACTGTTTGCAAAGTGTTTCTATATTATTTCTCTCTTTTTGAGGAAGATATATATGCTTACTCCTCTTCCTAATGGTATAGGAGTACACAGAACTCAAAATATTTAAATCATTTGTGCATAGTAACAGAATTGAGTGTCAAAATCAAGTCTGCTGGATTCTAAGTCCAAAGCTCTTACACTGTTTCCACATACTACCTTGCCTCTTCTTAATGGTTGTATCAATTAAGTATACTCCTATTGAATTTTAACAAGGACTCTGCAGTCTGAGAAAAGCAACCCTGGCCCAAAATAGAAGTCTTTTGATCCGCAACTCACCAGACACACTAGTAAATTAA